CAGCCGTAAATCACAAGGGATTTTAATGCAAACGTGGAGGTGTGCAAGTAAATACGCAGTTTTTAAAAAAAACTATACTCTATGATAAACCATACATGAGGACATAAAGTAGTTTTTTCTATATTCTATTATTGCATATTATAGTTAGACTTTTCTATAAAACCCTTTCTTTTTTAAATAGGCAATTCACGTATCTCGTATATATAATTAGTAGTTGAGGAAAACTATAGGCGATATAAATATATATGTTACTATATAAATATACATGTGCATATACATCTAGTGTATATATATAGTGTATATGTTCTGTATCTATACCTGTATATATATATATATATATATATATATATATATATATATATATATATATGTACACTTTTCTCTTCATGGCACATACAACTATAAATATATAAATATTTGTATTAATGTATATAAAGAATATTTTGTAGCCGAAGTAAGCTCTTTCTTTTTGTTCAAATAACTCCTAAAAGCGGAAGCTCAATTTTTTATATGGAAAGATTATTTGAGTAAGGTGACGCAGATAGTGTGTCTTATAATTAAACGCTATCACGAAATATCATTAAAAGATCATTAATTTCTTATTTTCCTTATGACGGGAAGGAATCAACCATCATCTTTTGTTTACTTTTACTCAATGCCAAACAATAATCTTCAAAATAATCTATTTTAATTTTGTCTTTTATCTTCTTTCATGCGTCTCTATCTGCCTAGGTCTGTCTGTCTTTCAGGGTTAGGGTGTCTCTCTCTCTCTCTCTCTCTCTTTCTCTTTCTTTCTCTACCTCTCTGTCCCCGTCTCTGTCTGTCTGTTTCGCTCTCTCTCTCTCTCTTCTCGTCTGTTGCTCTCATTCTCATTACTTTTTGAAATATTGCATCAATAAAAAATAACTTTTTTTCTCTTCTTTACGTTTTTAATAAGTACTTTAACGAAAGCACTTTGTTGAAGTAATTATCCTCTAGGTGGCGTAAAAATATATTATTCAATTTAGTGGAAATGTACTTGTTAGAGCAAGTAGCCCCACCTAGATTTTACTACTGAAAGTGAATGACGATTTATTTTCATTAAAATTTCTATTGGTTGTTTATACAATTAACTAAAAAAAACTTTATTATTGATTTCAACCGTTAGTCAATTCATAGTAAGAAAATAATCGAGTATATACAGTATTTCCATTTGTAGTCTATTCATTGTGGGGACAGATGGCGTTTTGTAAATCAGAATATTTATTAAGTTTATAGAATAAAAGAGGACAGAAGTAATTTTTAAAAAAAAAGTCAGAAACAGAAAAGGAAAGGATAAATACAGTTGAAAAGAATGTTACCGCATCTTCATGTAATTAGTCTACTTTTCACATGAAGTTAGCTAACATTATCTATTTTTAGCTACTGATTTACTGATTTACTAAATAATACTGCTGGAGGTGACCTTACTATTTGATCTTTCACATTCACAGAAAAGACTATCAAGAAAATTTCCAAACGTTTTAGAGATTGAAGATGTGTGAAGTACTGAAGAATAGAGAGAGAGAGAGAGAGAGACAGACAGACAGAATGAAAGAAGTGAGAGAGAAAAGTTTACTGTAAAAAGAACACTTGCTGGAAACTGAGGTTTGTAAAAGAAAAAAATATATGTGTTAGAGAGACTAAAGATAGTCCTTTTGAATGATGAGAAAGTCTTATTGTTTTATGAAGATTAGTGGTCTTTATCCTCTTTTAATCCAATTCGTTTACAACGAAGAAAAGCTAAGTCGGATAAAATCGGTTTTATATATTTATGTAGAGATAAAAATGCTTATATTGTTCTTCTGCAAAAACTATATCTGCTACTTAAAAGAGCACAGAATGTATATATATTTATATTTGACGTATTGTTCGTTTGTCCAATGAATATATATTTAATAGAATAACTATTTACATTAATATACTTTGCCTAGTTTTTTATTTATTGTTAATAAATAATTGGAAAACAATACTTTACAAAGACACAAAGTGTCCATCGTGTGAAGTGGTTGTTTATTCTCTTTTTCCTTCTCTCTTTCTTGCTATGCAAGCAATTTAATAAATTTTAAGTTTTGTTTTACTTTTCAATTCTCTCTCTTTCTCTCTCTCTCTCTTATAGTAAATAACTTTTAAAGGTGAACAGTTGAATATTAAAAAGTTTGAGAGCGTTGAAAAACAAAAGAAAAAATAAGAACAAAAAGCGGAAAAAGAGGAAGAAGACGAAAAATGAAGAAAAGGGTTTGTTTGGGGAGAAGGAAAAGATAAGAAAAAGAGGAGTTAATGATAAATTGATAAATGACGAAAAAAACATTTTTTGTTTCACCAATATTTTGCTTTATTCTAAGAATTTTCAGAGAAAATTCATAAGATTTCTCTTCATACCAGTAAATTTTTTATAATGAAGAAGAAAAAATAACTATTTAATGAATAGGCTAAATAAAATTTTAACAACACTGAACTTTTTAAGACTTGATGTTTCTTTGAAGAATTTCACCTCTTCGTTAAATCTACCGGATCTTCCAAAACGTCCATAATTATTCCTCTTAATATTTCCAAACTTCGTTCAACTTGTCGCACTTCCTCCGGAGCGTTTCTACCAAACCTCATTTCGAGAGGAGGCAGACAATCGGTAAAAGTAATAAAGCCGAGAAGAAGTATCAACCAAATTGTTTTCATTTCCACGGCGGCGTCACTTATGCAATGCGTTCGCCGTGGTCTGACGCCTCAAATGCACACGTATGGATTTTCTTTGTTCAACTTATATATAGGTGAGGCTATAATCATAAAATATACGTCACTTTTCTCTATGTTCTTCTTATGTAATGGGAATATTCATTCGTTTTGCAATATTTAAATTAATATTTACACTTTTACTGCTTTAAATTTATATTCAATCATGACGTTTAATAAGTCTAACAACGGGCACTTCGGTATATATTTATGCATTTATCCATCATACTACTAGTAGCGTAAACGTTGTTTGTTACACTATAAACAAAATATTCATTCTAAGACTTTATACTAGTTGTTACATTTACAAAATTTGTCCTAAATTATAGATAACATCTATTTTTTCCTTATTACATATATAATATACCTGTTTTACCAATGTGGGAATATTTAACAAAATGGTTCATGATTCTAGATCACTTTAACTAAAAAAAAGATTACGTATCTTTTCGGAAAATGTTGCAAGTTTGTCAACTAATTATTCTAACCTAAGTTTGATCAGATACATCGTAGATACTTTATAGGTAAAATTGAATGTTAAACAACCCCAATTGGGGCTGTAAAAGAGGTGTTAGCCATTTTTGCGATCAGTATTTCATTAGCTCTCACAAATGTGAAAGAATTCTTGGAAAGTGTTATTTAAATTATAGAATTCCTTAAAAGGCTGTTAGAATGGGTAAGGGATGGAAGATAGTAGCATTTTCAAATGAATAAAAATGTTGAATTACATCGAAGAAGGAGAGTGTTTGTAAGAGATGATTCTGTATTGACTCCGTATTTCTCCACTTGAAATTCTGCTTTAAAAACAAATTTTTTAAAAGATTTGTTAAGTGTAATAAATACAACTTTTACTTCTTTCTCTACTCTCCGTATCAACTAACTACCTTATCTCCTTTGTAAATGAATATTAATTCGATAGTTTTATCTTCTTCCCTTTAGTGAAAAAGAATCCTGAGATCACAAGTGCTATATTAGTTCATTCTATCAAAACACCTCAAAGCTTTACGAAAAGGGTCAATCAAGAGTGCTTGTACGATTTTCACAGTCTAGTGTATTTAGCTGGAAAGGCACTTGATAGAGGACTGATTCTCTTTATCCTGCTTCCGTTGACTTTTTTTGTCTTGTTTGTATAACATGAGAAAAATGTCCTCTCTTCATCTAATTTGTCCAAGAAAAACTTTTCTTTTTGTTATTATAAAGCTATTTTTAGTATTGTTTCTTCAAGAGTTTATCTAATTATGGAAAGTTTAAAAGCTGCGGATAAACTACAATAGAAGATTATGAATGAGTAATTCCCTCTTAATTGTAAAATTTTGTTGCTAGACAACAACAACAACCATTCAAAATAGCATGACAAAAGAAATGAATATTAATTAATGTATATATATTGTATACAAATACAACTTATATATATATATACAACATCAGTAAAAATGCCAATATTTATATATTTTAACCTTGGTCTTTTAGAGTAAATGTCTTTTGGTAAGCTGAGTACATGTAGAATAAAGTCTTTTGAGACTTTCTGTTATAATTATACAAAAGGAAAGAGAACGAAACGTATTGTAAAAACTCTAATGTTTATGTTCTTAATAAAGATTTCATACACGAAATGTTTTAAAAAGTGGTTGGAATAATGGTCAGAGCAGAAAGAAAACTTCCTGATTATTATTAAACAACGTATGCATTTCAAGTCTCAAGTTTTTTATTGTAATACGTTTAATGGGGGTTTTTTTTTCATATTGATACGATTCATCTGTGCAGAGTATAAACTACGTTTTCTTACTTTACATCAGTAGTTTCTGTTTCTCTCTCTCTCTCTCTCTCTCTATATATATATATATATATATATATTTAACTAATAGATAGATACTACGTATGTTCAGCTTAGCTATTCCATTTAAAAAGTAATCATAGAAATAGTAGAAGAAGAGAAGAGAAGCGGGAAAACAGATAAATTGAAAAAAGCAAAACAAGTTAAACCTAAATCAAGATTATTGCTAGATTAAAGCTCTATTCATTGAGTATCTTTATTCCCTATGAGTTTTATCATGTATATGAATAACTAGAGTTAATTAAAAGAAGAGTAGTATAAAAATGGTGATTTAATTGTTCAAAATACGAATTTCTCATGAAATTGTTACGTTAGAAGATGTTTAATTTAATTTTATTTTTATTAAGAAGATAACCTTTCTATTTACGCTGCTAATTAAGTTGGCTGGATCAGGCTCCACTACGAATGAGGAGAAAAAAATCCATTTAATATAAATATTTAACCTCGAAAGAGAATCCTTCAATAGAAATTAATAATGATGAAATTATCAATTTATAAAAAAAGAGATAATTCCTTAAGAGCTAATTCTTGATTAGAATCAATTTTAATAATAACAAATATGCTAATCTGTGTATACTAGAGAGAGACTAGATTTGCCAGCGAAAAACTAAGGAAGGGTTAGAGAATATTAACAACATTAATTTCCTCTTCTAAAAAGAGAAAAAATAAAAGTTGAACAAGCTTCAAAAGATGTCAAATTGGTCAGTCATCAAGTTAATATAGTGGGAAGTTGAAAGAAAAAGATCGACTAATTAAAATTAATTATTAGTAATAATGATTTATGAAATTTTCTGTATCTTTTGCGTATATTATATTGTTTTGTAACTTTATTCCGTATGCCATCATCCATCGTTAAAATTGAATAGAAGCTAATTTCAATTCAATAATTAGTCAGAGTAATATTAAAAGTCATTGTCTGATTTTATGAAGTGTAAGCATTTATTTTTAGTATACTTTAATATGTTTATCTATAAATATATATGCACATTGAAAGTTATTAATATTCCATTTTTGCCCCCTCTCTCTCTCTCTCTCTCTTTCTCTTTATACTCTTTATATTCCAACCAATAGAAAGAGAAAAGTTTTTCTTCCTGTATTTGTCTTTCCTTTTCAATAATTTTCCACTCTCAATCTGCTATTGTCATTTTCCTTTAGATATAGAGATTATTAACTGCGTATGTCGGAAAGCTAGGCAGGTGAACTTTGAACGAGTAGAAGAGAAGAAAAAACAAGAGGAAGAGAAGGCGGATAAAAGTGGAAAGAAAAGATAATTGCCATAATACGTTAAATCTGAAATATAAACCTTCTCCTTTTGAAGTTTAAACAAGACAATGTGGTAAAAGAAAATAGATTAAGGGTATCAATAGAACGTTATTTTTGATGTCTTAAAAAAGGGTTGATAAATTGATATTAATACATAGATAATAACAAACTTTAGTAAGTGTATTATTAAAAATCTATAAAATTATTCTCGTTTAAACTAGATATAAATTGTTAATGCTTTAATTGTATAATGTCTTGTCTTTATATATACTTGTTATTAATGTAGAACGTTCACTCACACACACACACACACATACACACGTACACGAATACACGCCAAAATACTGAATATTCATATATATAAAGTATATTGTATATACTTCATATATTTACACACAGTGCATATATTAAATTTGCCGTGTTTATATTCGTATTAATATTTTTATTTAAATTTATTTATCTTATTGAATTGCTTCTTATATTCAATAACCGATCATTGCGGATCTCTCTTTTAGACAAAAAGCCGTACTAGGCTTAAAGGATTTCCCAAAATCGAATTTTTCGCCCGGTACATGTCCTTGATATCTAGATATCATTCCTTCGTAAGGATTGTAGAATTTCTGTTGCTGATTCTTATCAAGAGAGTAGCCAATTTGAGTTTTAACTCTTGGTTTATTTAAGTCATCGCTGGTCAAAGATCTTGTCATATAAAACTTGGGCGCCTTTGTCCTTCTAGAAAATTCCAAAGAGACTTTTCCATTTTGATTTTGACCTAAACCTAATTAAAAAGAAAGAGAGTCTAATTAATAAGAGAAAATGACAAGAGATAATGGAGAAATCTTGAAGAGTATTCTAAAATACCTTTTTAAATTTATTAATCTTTATAAAATCTTAAAAGTTTACATTGTTTCATCTTTTAAAAAGCGAAACCTTAAAAGTCCTAAGTAAGAAAGGATGCGGGAGAAACGTGAAAATGAAGATGGCAACTAAAGAAAAGTATGACCTATCCTATTTCAGACTTTTTCGCCATATACTGTATACTAATACTGCATTTACATATGATGAATATGTATATAATGAATGTAAATCTCTCATACGCCTATTACTAACAAAGTTATCATAAAATCTTCCTTTCGATTCTCTTCTATTTTAAAAAATCCCGGAAAATACTATTAAGATTTATCAATAATTTTTATAAAAAACTCAACAATGCTATTCTTTAGTGATTTATACAAACCGGAAGTGGAATCTTTCAACTCTTGAAAATCGCTCGCTTGGACAGATTGTTCCTCTCCTCCATTATTTGCTTTTCGAGATGTATTTTCAACTCTAACCGCCTCTTCAGAATACTTTGAAGAATTTGTAATCGCATTTTGTTGACAGTACACTCTTGGAGGACACCTACAATGATAAATTACGTTTGTTTACACTCTATATTTTCTCTCTTCCCTCGCAATTCTTATCTTAAAGGGGAAAATGACAATAATTTTCTCATCTGTTTTCCGTTGAACACTAAACAGAGGAAAGAAATCAAAAAACGCGTCTGTTTTATTGGGTTTTTCTTACATGATTAAACCACTTAATAAAATAATAAAATACTATTTCGAGGTCGGGTGACATCTACCGGATATGAACAGAATTACAAAAAAATAGCCCAGATTAAGGCCGAATCCTTAAGAATTCATCGAATTAATGGTATAAGCGCGAAATTAATCATATTTCTTTTACAATTAGAAAATACTTAACTATTCCCTTTACGCCTTTAAAGAATGAGAGAAAAACATTTAAGAAAAGAAATAGAGCATACTATAACTTTATTGGTGAATAGTTCTTCTCTTTTTGCCTGTGTGGTCTTGATTTTATAAACGTTTACAATGAAATTTCAATTGTAAACACTTGAGAATTAATAAACATAAATGTTAAATAAACGATCTCTATATATAGATATAAAATACTTATCAACCCTCCTCCTCCTACACCATTTCGTTGTCTTGGTAAGTTCAATAAACTTTGAAATAATGATAATAGTTATATTTGAGAAATATTTGCTTAGCTCTTTGTTTAATCTCTTTAAAACAAGCAAGAATTAACTAATTAATTTATTCAATCATTAATTAATAATATTTAAGTTAGTTTACTTTTCTATAGCTCAATTATCTGCTCATTATAATTTCATATCTTACCTAATGTTTGGCATATAACTTGGACGAGTTTGTCCAAAACTCTTTCCTACTTCGGCATCTGCTGTTGCGGCCATTGGCGCCGAAGTTGACGGCGATCGCTCCTAGAAGGAAAAACGAAAAATAATCACAAGTTTCCTCTTCGTCTTCTTCTTCTTCTTTCCTTCTTATGATTTATATACAAATATCTCATTGATTAAAAATTTATTATGTATAAGAGTAAATATAATAAATGTCCACCTTATCTAAGAATTTCTCTTGCCAATATCTGTTCTTGATATGGAAAAGACACAAATCTTTTGTCATAGTGTCAAGGTCAACTAATACTGGTCTACAAGATTTAGACACTGTAGGATCCTTAAATATTTGTGCCGTTGTTGCCGCAAAGGTCTTACCAGACCTAAATCGGTACTGAGGAGTGAATCCCGCATATCTGAAATCGATAGTATTTCAATAAACTCAATTATGTATGACCATCAGACAAAATTGCTTTAGTTTTTCAATCAAACAATTCTTTCTTTTTTTTTTAAAAAAACAAGAAAGAAAAGTTTTTTCTGAAGACTCTAGAACGAGAAATGTTCTTAATTAAGCTAAAAAATGTTGTATTCAAGCTTTTCTCTCTTATCAATAAAAAAGAAAGAAAATCTTTCTTCAACTTTTAGAATGAAATATTTGCTCATTTTTTTTCAACTATTCACTTTATTGTAAATATTCCAAAATCTGCTGCATTCTCTTCAAGATCTTCTAGAGTTTCCTATGCCTTCTATTGTAGCTACTATTAGACAGCTTATAATATATATATATATATATATATATTCATTGATTGTTAGATGTTTTTACAGTTTTATTAATATATACAGTACAAGTGAATACTCTACTTTTTGAATTAATTTATTATTGTCATTATTACCTCCAATCCTTCAATCTACACGTTCAATCATTTTTCACTCTTTCTCTTTTATAACACAAATTCCTTAATCGAATTTATGGACACGGAAAAACTATTCACAAGAACAAAAACTAGACTAAAAGAAAAATTTACCCAGGTATATGATGAGGCTCTGGAGTATAATTCATGCTTTTCTCTTTCTCGCTCTCTCGCTCTCTCTCTCTCTCTCTCTCGCTCACTTACTCTCTTTCTCTATTCCCTTTTTTTTATCTTTGATTATCCCACTTGAATCTCGCTCCGTTCAACTGCGAATATCATTGAATATCTTGTTTTAACAACGCCACCTAGTATCGATTTCATTGATTTTATTTAGACCTACACTATAGGTGTCTTTGTTCCACTAGAACCTACTTGATAGATTTTATTCGGCGATCGGGTGTCACCGTTAACGGTTCGCCTGAATAATATCGGATTTAACTAATACCCTAATGGTTTAATCGACTTTTTCCACAAGATTTGCTAATCATTTAACCTGATATTTTAGTAATTTTACCGATAAGACTGTTCATAGATTAGCAAAGATAACGCAATTGACTTTTTCTTTCTATTTACCCTCTTAATGAATGTAGGTAATCTAAAGGAGGAGAGCATTTAATTTCGTGTTCACTCTTACTTTGGCTTCTATTTATATCTTCTCTAGGTTTTCTATCGGAAGAAGGGGTGTTCACTACTCTTATCAGTAAATATCCATAATAAATAAGTAAATGAAACGTCGTTATCGCTGTTTCTCTTTTATTTCCCAAAAATCTTTTTGTTTCCGTCATGCCTAAATATTATGATCATAATATTATAGTGTACGACTAAACATTATCTATTTACCTCTAGACAAACATCAGGTATAGTTGTCTATTTAAATATATATCAGTTTTATGTTTGTAAAGCTCCTAAACCGACTAAAGGCAGTTACTATACAATTTATATACTAATATATATAAATCTATACAGTATATGCTGTATTATGATAAATTTTCTTTCTTTTTCTATTCTCAATGTAGTTATAGTTTCAAATAAAGTCAACTTTTCTTCAACTAACAAAGCTTATAGGTATAGTATATAATTCCTTATTCTTTCAACTTAACCTAGTTAGAGTTATGAACAAATAATTAAAAATGATATACTGTATTTAGCATATTGTATAATGTATTATCCGCCCTAATACAAAAATTCTCTCAATTGTTTATTCCAAGAATTTTATTAAAATATTGATCAACATTATAATATAAATAACCTAGCTAAAGCAATCAATTATAGAGATAGAGCTAGAAAGAGAGAGAGAGAGAGAGAGAGAGAGAGAGAAGCAGGAGGGGGGGGGAAGGCGTGGACGGGCTGAAGAAGATTTCCCTCGACGACCTTGACTATCAATAGAATAAAAAATATATACAAAGAAAACAAAATGTACATTACGTGTATAGATCTCTAGAACACTAGCTCAATTGTAAATATAAAAATGGCGTATAGATAATAATAATAATAAAAGTAATAATAACGGCTTACTCGAGAATTTCGCCATTATTGTTTATTGAAAAAAATCTATATGGAAAACTTGGTTGTATGACGTCTTCGGGAATTAGATGAGCTAAATTACATTTTAAGACTCATTTTTCCAACTTGTAAATAGTTTACAATTCAAGAAAATCCTCTGAAACAGCACTGACTCTGTATGAATAAATCCTTAAACGATTAGTTATAATGTATTTACGATAAGCTTTCGCTTGAATAAAATTGAATTTAAGTAATACCTTTAATGTTTTAATTGATATTTCTTCCGCACCATTTAGACTTTATTGAAAGTACTGTATTTTCTCTCTGCCTATCTTTCTATCATTAAATGAACATTCTCCTTCTGTCGTTTTTCTTTCCTCAGGAAAAGAAGGAGAAAAGGTTGAAAAATTCATCACGTATACCGATTTTTTGTTGCAACTGTTTCTCATTCATAACAAACTATCTATTAATAAAAAAGAAGCTGTTGCCGCATTCATTATTTAGCAATAAATTATTCGTCCACTCCTCATTTATTCCCTTATACTTTATATATTAATAATATAACAATAATATAACGGTAAAGCTATGCTACCCTATCGGCAGATGGCGGTAATAGTAGAAAAGATATTGTATGTTTTCGAGTGTTTATCTATGTGTATGGGAGAATTGTCGATTGACAAAGGTATAAATTAAGAAGAGTTTGTAATATATTACGAATAGAAAAGCACTACTAGCAAGTTATTAATTGCAATCTTGTATTGCTGAACGTGCAAACTTCCGATCACAAATGTTAGATATTAATAAATTTGATTGATGAATACAGTCACGCTGTAACCAGCAGTGACGATTACGTACACAAAAAAGCATACATACTCACATACAAATGACAGAAAGACATTGAGAGAAAGAACAAGAGAGAGAGAGAGAGAGAGAGAGCAGGCAAAACAGTTAAAGTTACAATCTAAGACAAATAGAAAAAACACATAAAATTGGAATTGTAGATAATCAGACGACGATAATTTATAAACATATATCTTTATATATGATCATATTTTTCAATATTTCAATACGTATAATCCAATTCCTCAACTCTTTCTTACTTTTGTTAATTTGCCCTTCAATTCACCTTGTCAGCGTAACGACAAACCAAAACAGGGCAATGAGCGTGGTGAACAACGTAATCGCTAACCGATCCTAAGATCGTTCTTCTAATCTTACCCATACCACGTGTGCCCATAGCTATCATGGTAGCGTTATATTCCTTTGCCGCCGAAACTATTATTTCTCCCGGCTTAAGACCGCACTTATCGATAAATTTTATGTCCCCTTCCGGTACCTGAATTATATTAACAATTAATCAGATCAATTGTCGTCTTCATCAACGGTGGAAAAACAGATAATGAAAACGAATTATTGCCTATAGGCCTAACAATTTACCTTGCAATCAATTAACAAGTTTTTGAGTTGATCGTCGAGTGTCTTGGTCTTTTCCTTCTCTTCTTTGTAAAGATTCTCGACCGAAGCCGGAGTCATAAATTGTTTCTCTGTAAGAGGAGAATGAGACTGATTAATTAGGTAAACCAGCAGCGGTTAATTTTCCCTAATAGAGTTAAGTGCTTTTATAAGTATTGAGACTGTACTCAATGGTTATATAAACACTACATGTTATAGGAGAGGGCAACTTACGTGCCGAAGTTATGTCAGTTGGCACCTCGATACAGTGTAGCATATAGATTTTGTAGCCAGGTTTATGTACGTGTCTAGCGTAGTCTGTAAAATAGGAGAAAAACCTGTTAATCCATATAATAAATTCAATTTATAGTGCTATTAAATCATTTTACGAAAGCAAAAGTAAAAGTTATGCAATGAATTGATATCGAAAACTAGATTAGCTCCTAAGGATATACTGTAGTCGTTTTGGGGCAAATTCTTCCAGGCTATTATCAGAAAACACTATTTCTCATGAATTCTATTTGCATAATGTATTATAATATAAAACTGAACGAGTGGGGGAATTTTTTAATTGAAACCTACATTCGACAGCGTTCTTCGAATGGGCACTAGCGTCCACTGCCACAATGACCTTATTTTCCTCCATTTTTCCTAGGCGTAGCGAAATAACTTTACAGTTTTCCACAGGATCAATGTATCAGCGTCTCAGGGCTCCATCTACCAACAGCGCACGCTTTTACTTTTATATAGGCGTTTTGCGCAGGGCTACCGGCAATATTGACTGTTACGCCATCTCGACGAAAAACTTTACTCTTTTACTCTCTCTTTTACTGTTCTCTACCAGTAGACTAATCTAGAACGGTAGATGACGTTGTTGAATTTGAATTGCACTCAATTATAGTCCTTTCTAGACTATTATTAGCCTTAAAGATTCCGTTTCCGTTGGCTGAAAATGGCGGGTTTTTTGAAAGAAAAACCGATAATATTGCATGCTAACTTGGTAAGATTTATGTAGAATTACGGACTATTCGAATAGATCCTTAAACACTACTCGGGTTTTAGCTGAAGGAGCATCACCTCCTAAATATCTCCAATCCCTGAAGCTCCCCTAACAACACACCCCGTCTCAATGTAGAGATGTTTTATCTTTTACAGAAATACGTGACTTGGACCGGAAGTGGCATCATGAGTCCAATTCCCTTTCCCATCTAACCTATCGCAAGTAGATATACATGGAATTGCGTATAAGGTTAAGAATTTGTCCTTAATATTTGTTTGAATTAATTGAGAAATGGATGCGCTATATAGAGACTACCTTGTCAGGTGATTCCTTTAGAAATATTCATATCGACGTCCAGGTTGGGTTTTGACACTACGCAAAGAAAGTAAAGTGGTTAGAAGAGGATCAAATGAGAAAATTTATGGTTTATCCTAGATGATATTTTCGCCTTTTTGTCAACATCATCCTTCCAAATTGGCGGCGATTGGATGAGGATGATGAATTCGGTCAACAGGAATTTTACGTGCATCGAAATGTAAACGAAGAGAGTCTGTAAAAGCTATCTATCAATATACAGTATATATACAGTATATATATATATATATATATATATATAAATATATTGTATAACAAATGCTAAACATTATATCAATGGATATATTGAATGATTTAGAAAATTTCAATTGTATTCTGTTTCACATCCGTTGAATCTTAATGAAAAATTCTCTCATTATTTCTCCTAAATATAACTGTACGACGAGGACAAAAGATGACTATTTAATTTAATCAAAAGTGCATAAAAACTTATCAAAAAAGAGCTTGGCAGACAGGGTAGGCAGACAGTCGGGCAGGCAAGCCGGCAAGCGGATAGACAAACAGACAGACAGAACAGCTAAGCAAAAATCCTTTTTATTCCCTTGTATTTTTTTTCTTCTTTTGGAAAGGAAAAAAGAGAAGGAAAATGATGAAAGTTATAATTAAGAATGTAGGTGTAGACAATTTTGACATTCAATTAATTCCAACTAAATACAAGTAGGTACTCTACTATATATACTAGTACACTATGCATATTGCATATAATAAACAGTATAAAGTGTATATTTAGTTAATTAAATACTGTATATAGATACATACAGTATATACAGCAGATACAGAATATCAACTACCTATATTAGTATATTTATATTTTACTAATTCAATATGCTTTCGGCCTACACTCTAAAACCTAATCAAACAACTTACTTAATAAATTTCTCACAAGAAAGAAAAAAAAGCGACGCCATCTGCAGACGAAAATATAAAGTCGTTATAGTAGTTGATCGATAGTCATTATGTTAAAGGTAAAAAGCAGTCGATTCGTGAATGAAACAACTCTAACGCTCCCTTTCAATTTTGAACAATCGGGGCATATTTTCATATTTTGCATTTATGGAGAAGAAAAGTGTATTATCACTAATGATAAGCCTAATAAACAAAAGTGTTCTGTTTCAGTAGAAGATGCATTTGTTACTCTGTTCTTAAGGTGTTTCTGTTTTTTTCCTTTTTTTTCGACAAGTCATTAGACTTTCAGACCGATAAAATAGATAAATGACACATTTCCTTCTAAAAACATTTCCCTGGAGCTTGTTGGCTGCGGTTTTTTACGCTAAAAGGCAGTTAGACTCCTCCAGAACGCGTCAGTTTTTCCATATTCCCTTTATTCCTGAACAGCCTTCAGCCTATTTAAATAAGCCTTCTGCGACAACAGGGCGATCGGTGAGGCGCGCAACAGAATTACTACTGCATCCAATTATTGAGAGTTTAGATCCACTGCAAAAAAACTGGAAATGTAATTACGTAATCAATCTCGGCATTTTCAGGCCTATAAGGATCTATATTCGTCATCGTACTCATCTGGAATGTTTTTAAGGCGTAAAATTCATTTTTCTCATGTAGAAAACAGACTAAGAATACAAACAAATGGGAAAGAAGCAAAGTGTTAGGAATGTCGTCTCAATTTTCGCCTCTAAAATGTTTTATTTGTACTATTAAAAGGCTGCTACACACGTATGGCGTAATTACAGCTTTTTTCCATAATACCAAATAGTTATAATAGTAAAGAAAAGTCCTGGAGGCAAACGAAAATAACAACTATTATTACTGCTGAATAAATAGAAAGATTAACAAAAACAAATGGAACTAGAACAAGAAGAAGAAGAAGAAGAAGAAGAAGAAAGGAAATGAAAAAAGACCGGGAGGGATGAGAAGCGGAGGGGGAGGAGGAGGTGGTGGAGGACGGTGAGAAGAAAAGTAGAACGAGAACAAGATCATAAAAGGACGACAATTGAGAGTTAGAGAGAAACATTGTCCAATAGTAATAAATTTTGGTAACAGCAATTTTCATCAGTTACACTTTTTATGCCAATAGAATACTCTCTCTCTCTCTCTCTCTTTAATATAATAATCTTTACCTATTTTCTCTTCGTCTCCTTTAACTTTAAATTTACCTTCCTCCTATTGCTTTCTTCTTCTTTCTTCTCTTTCTTTTCCTTTTTGCCAAATTTCCTTCTTTGACCATTAAAAGTCTCATTTAATCGATACGGTCATTTGTAATTGATCATAAATAATTTCAGTTGCTTCTCTCTTCTCATTCCAAGTAATCTTCTCTGAATTAGTCTTATAAAAGAATCATAAAAACAGAAAAAATACAGAAAAAACCTCTAGCCTGAAGGTTAGGGAAGAGAAGGCTTAGTATAGGACAAAGAATACTAAGTGATTTAAATGACACTATTATAATCTGAGGTGTCGATTGTAGACAGCGTTTTATTTTATTCTCCTTCTTTGATTGATGATTCTATATATTTGTAGAAAGTGTAAATGGTATTGCGTCGAAATCTTATGATTTATGATTAGAATTTTGTTTTGTTTGTCAATTTCACTATAAAGTTTCTTTAGGCCTAGTAAAAGCGAATTGCTTAAGAAAATACTGTATAAAAAAAGTGCTTCCAGAGGGGAATCTATCATCATATTTTTACTTCAATAAGATATTCGATTATTAGATATTGACCTAGTTAGTTGTGAAACATCCAGTATTCATAGCTAAGCGTTAAAAATAACAACGTAAGAGGTTCTACCATCCGGGATAATCCCAATAATTTAACAGCCATTTCTGTTTGATTTTCGGATTAAGCCTTATCTAAGTATTTTTTTGACAAACATTCAAATATAATAATTTATTAAATTATTGTTTGAAACATTCAATAATAGAGTCTAATCCTCAATCTTCCTCCTCATTCATTCGTTATCCATCAAATAGTAATACAGTATCTGTTGAGACGAAGAGAAGGAGAAAAATTGATAAGAGAAGGAAGTACGGATGGATACGATCTATATCGATAGATAGATTGATAGACAGACAGACAAAACAAACAACGGACTAATAGACATAAATATACATATACACTATGTCTTGTAAATATATACTGTATAGCATGATGTAAATGTATGCATAAAGTGTAAATGGAATCTCGTTGCTACTCGGTCTTTCTCCCTCCGAATAATTTAGTCATTAAGAATAATCTTTTAGCCATTGAACCTTAATACATTCATAAAACTTGAATGAACAAAACTTCCGGTAGAACAAAGAACATAAATAATTGACTCAAACAATCGTATTTTGCTTATTTTGATAGGTTTTTATTGATGGTATCGGTGAGCAAATATTTGGGTGGGAAAAGAAGAATTGCTAAGAAAATCAATAACATGGCGCAACATTAATACTTTGATTGCGCAAACTGGACAAAGGATAGATTAATTCAATGCTAATTGCGAGGGTTTAAGATCTTTTTATAGAATTTTTATGCTGATTGATTAAACAGAGCTGTGTATCCCCGAGGTCTGCTCGAAAATTGAACTAATAATCCTTATACAACATTCTTCTGAGGCAAAGGATGGATAGATAGATAGAAATGATCTTGGAAGTAAATTAACTATTTCTAAGAGATAATGAAAACGTTACAGTGGAAATTAATCTGCTTGAAAATAAGTCATTAATAGTACATATTGAATATAAAAAGCTACTATATGTTGTACATTATTAGCTATATTGACAAGTATGTAGGTATATACACTCTACAAGAAATATGGCAGTGCAATAAATGAATATATAGTCTCCTATATATACTATATTCTGTCTAATGTAGTGCAATACATCATCTATTAAATGTATGGGATAGAGAGATTTTTGTTCTGTATAAATATTTATATTCTTGATATACTTATAGAAAATGTTAAAGGCAAAGTTTATTGTAATGCTAATATCCATTATCTTACAATGAATCTCTACCTTCGTCTAGCCTAGGAAAGCTGCTATTTGTATATAAATATATACATATACTGTATGTATAGCATATATAACATATAAATATAAACTGTTTATATAAATAGTACGTAAGAGTAAATGTATTTACTATTACTATCATTAGTATTCTTAAATGTCTTCTAAGTGACAGGAGCTTGTTGAATGTATACTCTATATTTTGAATACAAAACCGATAGGTGTAGATGTACGATATGACGCTTTCATTATTTCTCTTTCTCTTCTTCCCTTCTTCTTTCTTTTGCTCCTATCTTGTCCCTTTCTCGTTCCTACTTTCCTCTTTTTCGTTCTTTGACATACCCACACACACTCTCTTTCTCTTCTCACCCTGTCTTTCTCTCTGCTTAGTTCGCAATTTTTTTAAGAAAAATAATATTTAGCCAATCTAGCCACGATTCTTTATCGCGTGAGAAGGGCGAAAAGGCGATCTAGTCAATTTTTGGTTTTGTTGCCGTGGCAACATTTCTACGCGCATGCGTTAGCAGTAAAATCTTCGAACGCCAGCGACATTAAGTATCGGGAAATGGGACGGGGCTCAAGTAAACTTTCGGGCGAGCAGATAAAGGAATTGACAGAAATTACCTATTGTAAGATATTTCTATAATATCGCTTAGATGTTTATATTATTTTTTATCTACTTTCTCATTGCATCTCTAATGGTTGTTTATTTCTATGCAGTTGACAAAAAAGAAGTTCAACAATGGTATGTATTCCATTTACTTACTTTCCTCTTTCGGACGTTAACCTCTCTCTATCTATCTATCTTTCTTTCTGTCTATCTCTCTCTTGCTCTCTGGCTCTCTCTTGCGCTCTCTCTCTCTCTCTTTCTCTCTCCCTTTTTTCTTTCTTTCATGCTTTCTTCCCCTCACTCTCTTTATATATAATCTACTTCCTTTTCTGACCACTTTTTTTTAATAGTTTACTATGTGTGTTCTACGTCAGGATAAATATTTCCGGCCTAGGGCTAAAAAAGAGTTTCGTATTATTGATTCATTGATCTAGCGGCATCTAAAAAATGCGATAAAGACGCCCTTTTGTATCGAATTCATTTGAAATATAGATAATAGAGGCAATTCGGTTTTAACCTTTCGATTCGAAAATTATTCAGATGCATCTAGTTTTGATTTAAGAAACTTTTTTCCTCTTTCAAAAGCCCCGAATCGGTTAGAAGAAATCACTTAAATAGGATAATTTTCAAGTTAAGTGAAGAGGAAAAGTCGAATTAGGCCTATTGGAAAAGTTTTACGCTAATGCTGCATTTGTTGCTCTACAGGCATAAAGATTTTCTCAAGGATTGTCCAAACGGATCTCTAAGAAGAGACCAATTCGAAGCAATTTACCAACAGTTTTTTCCACACGGTGATCCTTCAAAGTTCGCTCTAGCTGTCTTTAACGTCTTTGACCAAAATAAAGACGGTGTTATTGAGTTTAAAGAATTCTTACATGCGCTTAGCGTCACATCTCGAGGAACTCTTGATGAGAAATTGGACTGGGCATTTAGTTTGTACGATTTGGACGATGATGGGTATATTGATAGACTTGAGATGATAAGTGTTGTCGAAGCTATACATGCAATGGTTGGTTCTTTCCTGCAAATGCCTGATGACGACGATTCACCAGAGAAGAGGGTTGATAAAATATTCGATCAAATGGATATGGTATGTATTTCTCGTTTTCGTGAGCTTTTTTAACCTGGTATTTCTCTTTATCTTCTCCTTCTATCTTTATTTTTTTTCTTTCTCTTTAGTTTGCCTCCTTATTTCTCTCTCTTCTTCGTTTTCCACTTCTAATTTACTTTTGAAACTTAAGATATCTTGATAAAAAATATCTTTCTAACTGACTGTTACTGTCTATAAAGGTCGACTCTCTTATTCGTTCTCCCCTCCCCCTCTCCATCGTTTTATCTATCCCTTCCGCTTTTCTCTCTCTGTTTATGCGTTCTCTCAATTAGTCTATTATCAATTTTATTCTTTCTGTCCTATCTCTATCCTCACACTTTGTAAGAGAGTATGTATGCTTGTCTCTGCTTGTTCTCTCCCTTCTTTCCTCTCCCCCCCTCTCTCTCTCTCTCTCTCTCTCTTTCTCTCTCATAATCAACTTTACTTAAACTGACCTAAGGCGAGTAGAATCTAAGTGAATTTTCCTATTCCAAGAAAAATTCTATTCGCGAGTAATCGTATAAACAAGTATTCGAAATTAAATATTCGCACTTTTAAAGCGTAACGTTTATTTTATTATTGAACTAAAGAAGAGAGAGTGGAGAAATAAGTTCTCGGGTGGCGAAACTAACGTTGAGACTCGACTAAACTATAATGCGATGATTGATGATTGCTAATGAAATCAACCTGCTTTATAAAAGGGATACCAAAGCTATTTGCATATATTTGCAGTTGAGTGCTATTGTAAAGTTTATATTTACAATCTTTTTTTGGTTTTTTAATAGAATCGAGATGGTAAATTGACGAAAGACGAATTTCGGCAAGGTTCAAAATGTGATTCGTGGATTGTTAACGCCCTTAGTACTCAGCTTTCACCTTATCAACCGCCTCCAACTGCAGGTCAGGTACTCGCTCCAAAATTGCAAGCGGAAGTCGCTAGGCAAACGAAAAAGTCCAAGAACCGTAAATAGGTTAATTAGAAGAAATAAAGAAAGTAACTGCTCATTTTATCAAGTAGAATTGAGAATAACTAATAAAGAAAGCAGACGGACTACTCAAGCAAACTGAACAGAATGAATAAAAGATGGAAAAACGTTTGTCTTCAGTTGTTTTCTTTAAAACATAAACAAATATTAAAAAGGGAGAAAATTACAAAAGAACAAAGTGAACAAGTTGAATAGCAAACGAAAATCCGATCAGTCCACATGTATAATTTCTACTACTGTGCATGTGATAATGTAGGTTAATTTATGCATAAATTTATGACTTGAAATTTGTTTCTTACTCGTATTCTCTTCTTGGAATACAAGATATATACAAAAGAGAAAAGTCTGTTTGTACTGAATAGCTGGCGGTGAAGAGACAAGAGAATTATCTAGAAAAATATTCATCTATGTATCTCTTCTTTATTTCTTTAATTGAGTATTTTACGTTATAAAATTAAATAAGGCCTATTTCAATGAGAATATAATCAGAAAACTGATAATCTAAAGGATTAAGTTAAAAAAGGAAGAAATGATGCAAAAATTCCTTTCTTATCAATTAGAATAGAAGAAAAACTCTTTGATTATAAAAGCTATCCTGTAATTTAGTGTTAACTAATAATATTTAATACCAATACCTTTCTCGGCTTCCTAGAAACTGCTGCAATTGCTACTTTACCACTAAATTAATGGTCTAATAGCTTCTGACGGATTGTTTGTGCTGCCATCTATTGTCAATAAAGGAGATTAGATGAAAAGGCAGCTGGAAATTGAAGAAAAGAGAGCATATATAGTGATAAGGTAGATCTAGAGATGTGTTAAAGAATAATAAATGAGATAAGAAGAAGAAATGACGGGTTTAGAAATCAAAAAATGCTCTTATTATTATTATTTAAATTGACTGATATTTTATTACAAAGTTAGTCTTTTCTTTAAGCTATAGTACACTAATCTACTGAATAGACTATATATATTGTCATTTTAAAATATCCATAGTGTTAATTTACTGTAAATGTTAGACTAGATAAAGATACACAGGTAATAGGGGTGATGACAAACTCTTGTAAATGCATGCTAAGAATGGCTGATCAAGAGATTCGTAAAGCATAAGTAATAAATAAATGAAAACTGTAGTGAAAAAGTAGACGCGAAAGACAAGACTATGAAATTAGAGAGGACTAAATGAGGGGGAGAAATGGCAGAGTAATTCTCATTCAGTTTGTATGGTCTAGTCAATAGTTTGATAGGAAAAGCCCTTGTTCTAAACTACGCAGCATTGATAAAACGCATAATCTATCTCTAATTGGCTGGATGAACATTTTGTAGTCAACTTTCTTCGTATTATATATGCCTATTATATAAGAGTAGAAAGATGAAAAGGAATAAAAATTACGTATTTCACATTAAAAAAGGAGTAAATATAACTGTACGACTACATAGAAAGTACCCAAGTAACCTAACCGCTTCAGTTTCTACACAGTGTTACTAGTAATAGCGAGTTTTGTTTAATTAAGAGTAGACAGCAGTTTTTTTCATTTATTTATTCTTATTCTCTTTATCCTCCTCCTCTTTCTTCTCTCTCTCTCTCTCTCTCTCTCTCTTTCTCTCTCTATTTCTCTCTTTGCCTGTCTGTTTATCTTTTCGTCCTGTAGACTTTTCATATTATACATTATTTTTCAATCTTCATAAATGTACATAATACATTTATACTGGACCGTTTATTTTTAATGATTCTCTTAGAAAATGGAAACAATAAACTTTTTGATCTTCAATAGAGTATTCGCACTCTTTCAAATTTTTATATAACCCTTTAGAAAGCTTGTTTTTTCTTCCTTTCTTATCTTCGTATTATATATAAATGCAAAACTATGGAAATTACATAGATTCCTTTCACCACTGTGTGCTAACATTAATGAGCAAGCAATTTTTACATTTTATTTTTCTCTTTTGTTTCCTCGCTCTCTCCCCTCTCCACGTCTTGTTGTTTCATTCTTTCCCTCTATCGGAAGCCTTTCCATCTTTACAAGTATAATATTCTTGTTTTTAGCTATCTAATCAATCTCCTAAGAAGAGTAGATGAAAAATTGTTGGTTTGCTAACTTTGGTGCAAACTCAGTATGTTTTCGTGTAGGGCTCTTTTCCTACTGAAACTGTGTAACAGTATATGTTATGTAATTTTGTACATATTTCGTATAATCTAGTATATAAAGCATACTTAAAATAGAACTGTTAAATGTCGTATCAGAAACATGTGAAAATTTAAAAGTTAAAAAAAAAATGAAAAGGAAGATCTAGACGCTTGTGACGGTTTTTTTTTGTTTTAACGAGAAAAAAGAATTTTAAACCACTTCAATGAAAGTGAGGAATAAAAGAGCTGATAATAAGTAATTGTAATAATAACAATAACAAAAATAGTAATAATAAACGACTTTGACGGAGGCGCCTATAAATAGCTCGAATTGAACATGAAGTATATAGTACTAGTGTACTGTTTGAACACATCAGGAAGAATGCTATCGTTTTAACCAACAAAAGTCTAATAAGAATATATATGTCTAGTCATTTGTACATGTAAAGGAGCAGAACCAGCTCTTACCCTCCTAACCTTTACCCTTTTTTGCTACTAGTTCTACCTCCTTTTAGTTGTTCTACTATTAATTTTCGTGCTTGAAAAATCATTCTTACATCGATGTAAAAGTATCAGATATCAACAACTTTCAGTTCATTTATATACATTTGTATGCATAGACTTTACTCCCTACACGCATTAACAATTTACAGTATAATACTCAAATAACCAATCGATGAATTTAACGTAAACAAGTTTAGCAGAGAAATTTTTCACAGCTTCTTTCATTTAGAAGACGCTCAGAAAAGGTTTTTTTATAAAGATTATTTAAAGGGTAAAGGGAACTCTCTACATTCCTCTTCAACTCAATCAGTTTATTTTATATATATACTAATATAAATTATATACATGTATATAGAGATATATATATATATAGATATTTAAATACGGCAAAAATGAAATTTCCAGCCCTTTTAGATTTTAAATTGTATCACAAAAATTTATTAGATGGCGTTTCTTTTAGACGCTTCCTACAAAATAGAAAAGCTATTTTTTTCTTAAATTGCTTGTAAATTTCGTATATGTTGGCTCTTTGAGAAGTGTTCTCACCCGTAAATAACGCTTAGGTAAATATTTTAGACGCTAATGAAGCAAGAAACAAGATGTAAAGAGTTGATGAGAGAAACAGCTAGATAGATAATATGTCATAATGTCCTTGATAAAATGAAAAAGGCATTTTTAAATAAACATTTGAATAATAGAGATGTTAGTTAAAGTTGTATACAAGATACATAATGTATATAGACTGTATATACTGTATATAATAACAAACAATATAAAAAACAATACATATATTCATGAATAGTGGTTGACATTATACACAACTATTCATAACATACAGGCTGCTGTAGTTCTTTGTAATTTATACATTTTAAATCCTACTTGTTAATATTCATGTAATTTTTCATATCAATCTCAATGTAATATACTAATACTATACATACATACAATTCTCTCTCTTTCTCTCTCTCCCTCCGTCCCTCCCTCTTCCTGCGTCTCTATTACGGATGGACACATGTTTTGAAGGTAAGAGGATATAATACATAAAAGAAGAACAGAAACTATACATTCGTTATATTTTATACAAAACATAGAATTATAAAATGTGTATAATATCTATGCGTGCATAAATCTTTGCGGTCTGTATACGTACACTATTCGTTTTAACAAATCAATGAGCGTGACAGGTGTGCGTACATATTCGAAATATAGAAGGCGCTGTTGTTCCCTCAACGTTATCTGTTTGGCGAAGAGCGTTGAAGGAAAACTATGGCAGAATGTCGAAATGACGGGGGTAACTTTTTAAGGCAATTTCGCGACCAAGCGACAAAACAATTTAAGAAATTTGAAGCCTCCCAATTTATGGAAGTTTGGAGTCATTACGACAGTGACGGTAAGTTATCTTATTTAGACGTTTCTATAATAAAGATATTTTGAATTTTAATAATCATTATTTTTTAATTATTTCTTTATATATATATATATATATTTGATACTTTATGTAGATATTGTATGTATGCATGATATGTATATATATATATATATATACTTATATATACTGCATATGTCATATATTTAGTTATATATTATTTTACATTATATAATAAATTAATTCAATTATGCAAATGGTAAAGAAATCGCTTGAAAGTTAAATTTCCTTATCTGCAAATATAAATAATTCTATTGCTATTTGTTCAATTAGAAGTGTATTATTTTATCAACTGAACATACAAGATATATTTTTTGTATCCAGTATATATGTATTTAATTTAAAAAAATAGCATTATATGAATTCTTTAAAGCTCTTATTTAGTTTTTTTTTTCTAGCATTTTCTAGTTTTAACCATCTGTCAATTTTCACTTCAGTTTTTTTTCTATATTACTCAAAAAAAAAACATTAGAAAGTAAAGAAACATAGTTAAATAATTTTTTTTTCTTTTCTAAAATTGGTAACAATCATTCTATTGAGTGATGGATTTATTATAATTTCTTCTTTTCATTCTAATTGGAAGATTGCATAATAATAGTAAACTTTTATATTCTCTCCGCTGGAAATAGAAAAGTTTCTAATCAACTTTTTCTATATACTCTTTGTAAGACAAATGAATGTATCCTCCCTCTTTCGGTGCAAGTATTCTTCTTTGTGTTTTATATCTGTTTTCTTTAGTTTGTTTTTTTTAATTACATACTAATTTAACATTCTCAAGACTGTCAAGTAGGATTGATAGCATATTTCGTTTGTCAATTCCTATTTTGTCGTCATGCAGTTTAAGGGGAGGGTAAAACAAATCGCACGACAGCAGCTGATTAAGAGGGCGGCGACAATCTACGATTCTTCTTACGGCTCTCTTCGAGTCCTACTACTCTAAATTTTACTTTCACCTCTCAATAAATTATTCAAATACTCCACTAAAATGACTTATGATTTTATCCTCCTTTAAAATCCTACTCTAGATTTTAACAAAAGAGGTTATGAAAATACAGCTGCGTTCTCTATTTACAAGCTTCGATTATCGCTCAGAAAGACTTTATCATAATTTTTTTGTTTGCTGCCGAAAAGCTATGAAAAAAAAACAAAAGAAAAAAAAAACGACAGAGAGAAAGAGAAGGAAGAAAAGATAAATTTTTTTAAGTTTTTTAATATAAAAGTAAAAAGAAAAGGTGAAAAATTAATAATTTTGTACTTAAAAGTACATTTTTTATTATTATCATCATCATATAGGCAAAGAGTAATCTCTTTTTTTGTTTTTATTTTAGTTTACATTTGTACTGT